GTTTACTATAAATAGTATTTAATTAAATTGAAATTCACTTCCAATACAATAGTACACAGAAAATTTGATAAAACTGTCGTTGTGATTTCAGCATTAGTATGTCCCATAAATGCTAAAATCATAATTGTATCAAAGATTTGGATTTTTCAATTATTACGGCAACACATCTCTGACTTGTTGATTGAGATCAAACAAAATATTGATTTTCACAGGCATTAGCAGCTAAGTATAATGAAGCAAAAAAACAAAAAAGTAAAAACAATCTTACAGAAAACAACAAACTAAATGATAATAAATGAAATGCTGGCTCAGTCTTTCTATAGAGATTCATTGGTGCATATGAACTTTCTAGAGAAAATTGTTACCAAGAATTCAAAGAAGAAATATTAAAGAATTAATGAAAGGCAAAACCCATGAGGAAAGGAAAAACTTTTTACACTATCTCAGAGTTTCATGGCAAATCTAGATTAAAGAGAAAAAAATTTCTCAAAAGATGTACTCCGAGCTTGCAAACAAATACAATTCATGAGGGAGATTCTCTCAGTTGTCATTCTATTGAAATTCAATTATAGAAACATACATGAATGAAAAATTTCTCATAATAATAAAAAGTGGATTAGACATTAAAAAAAGAAATTCATTAATAAGATGATTCTCTAAGCCCATAATTAATTAATGAGAAAAAAAAGAGTACCACTAGCAATTCCAAGCAATTCAGGGATACGGCGGTAAAGAGGAATTTGTCCACCTTGAAACTCTTTTCAAACATCAGAACCAGATCGAAATTTCTAACCTGTCATACCGAATCCACAACTGTTTCCTTATCCCATCAAGATACCTCTACCTTTTCTCTTTCCTTTCTTTCTCGACCCTGGTTGTCTTTGGCTTTGATTTTGTCAAGTTTCCCTATAACAAGAAACAAGAAGAAAAATTAAACTAAGAATGGCATTTTTTGTACCATGAAAGGAGAGTTTTTGATTAATTTAAATACCATGAAAAAAGAAGAAGGGTAATGAAGTGGGTTTACTTTTTGACGAAGGGCAATTGAATTGGAAGAAGAAAAAAACCATAGATCTGGAAAGTTGAAGGGATGGGCGAGATAAGAAGCGGTTGTTCCTTTTATTTTTTCAGAATCCCAATGGAAAAAGAAAAGGAAAAGAAAAAAAAGTGGCTAGCCGAAGAGGCGGTTGATAATTATTGTTGGCCAAGTTTTATATACTATATAATTATTAAACTTTGAGGCATTTTTTTTTGCTGCCTCAAACGTTCCACCTCTGTAAGGAATTTTTGTTGTAGTGGTGGGAGATTTTACACCCGTTATGACAACAACTATGGTTCTGACCATATAACCTTTAGGCAATCAAATGACCAAAAACAAAAATGTTGAATTTGTTCCTCTCAAAACCACACGATAGTCTACTACCCACAAGGGTAATTTCTTCATGTTCAACCTTTTGTCAATGTCTGGGTTGTTCTTCTGTTATGCCATATGCACACTCTTGGTGTCTTGACCAGTGCTTCACAACATATGACATCTGACTTGGCAAAATTCAATAAGCATGAGCCCTATTAGGGTTCTGACCACCTTCAGATTGGTGATGGTGAGTACTTACAAATTAAACATATTGGCACTTATCATATTCACATCCCATCTAGCAACTTAAAATTATTTGATGTCTTGCATGTTTCATAAATAACCCATTCACTACTTTATATTAAAAGACTAACATGTGATAATAATGCATTTTGATAATTTCAAAATTTTTTTTCTATCTAAAGGACTAGGTACAGAAGAAACAATTATTTTTAAACCTAAGTGATGTTGATCATTATACTTTACTTTCCCCTTCAGTTTGTCCAACTTTTCAAGCTCACCCCGTCCGTGTCTCTGCATTAGTTTGGCACCCTATATTGGGTCATCCCTATAATAGAGTACTAAATCGTATTTTAACAAAATAATTTGTTATCCAATTCTAAAAATTTATCTAGCTCTTACTTGTCTTATCCATTGGTAAAATCAAATAGTTTATCTCTATCTTCTTCCAAAAATTTTAGTTTTAGTGATGTATGAAAACCTTCTCATACTACTTTAAATGATGGTCATAAATATTACATTACCTTTGTTGATCATTTTTAAAAATATATTTAGTTTTTTCATCGTATAAAAAATTTGATGTATATGCTACTTTTATTGATTTTAAAACAATGCTTGAATGCCAATTTAATTACCGGATAAAAAATACAAACTGATTGGAATGGGAAGTTATATGCCCTCATACATATAAAAAAAATGAAAATACCGAGAGACATCAACTTCATACTATGGAGATGGGCCTTGCTTTATTAGGTGAGGCAAGTGTACCTAGAAAATATTGACATCATACTTTTGAAACTACTATTTTTTTTTATTAAAAGAATATCATGTTCTATTGTTAATGATGTTTCACCTTTTGAAAAAGTTCTTAAAAGAAAACCAAACTACTCCTTCCTCAAAATTTTTGGCTATCTTTATTATCCTTACATATGCCACTACAACAAACATAAAATAGACTTTCGATCAACCCATGTATTTTTCTTGGCTATAGCCCTTCCTATTTAGGATATCATTGTTTCGACAAAAAAAAAAAAAAATCTCTATTTTTACATTGTCCGTGAAGTTTGTTTTATAGACAATATATATTTTTTTACTTATTCAAAACTCCATATTGCCTAATCCTCTATTTTTGTCAATTTTACTCCTTGAGCCGGCATGCCCATTTGGGCCCCCAATTATACAATTAACACTTCTCTTACGAGTCAACATCACTTAGTCTTTCCACATGAGTCTGTCTTAGTCACAACCCAATCCACTACCAAATTAGTGTACCAACTCATATCTACAGTGTCTTTTTCTCCCTCACAAATCCAAACCTTAAGTCCCGTTCCGACCTTATATTACTCCCGACCACCATATAACTCCACTTCACACAATCCTCATTCACCAAACAATCCCAGTTCACCTAAACACCATTCTCTCCCTTCTCTAAATGATAATAGTAAAGACTCCATCCCCTAGACCATGTCTTCTCCTCCCATAATACTTTGACATGTGATTGTCCCCTTTGAAAACCAGCCATCACAAGTATCTCTCTCACCCATTATACATAAATTTCTCGATCCTAATACATCTAAACACATACCTATTGCAAATCTAACAATGATTTCTCTTTCTCCTCCGGGTTTCAACCTAGTTTTGGATTTTAGTCCTTATGATTTAAACACACAATCAAAGACCTCCTCCTTTGTTCGATTATGTGCCTCAACACACCCATCATACGACCCCGTATTTTATGGGGTCATTGTCTACACCGAAGACATCTTTGGTAGTTTCTCACCCATAAGTTCCAAAAACCCAACTTGTTTCTCCATATATATATATATATATATATATATATATATATATATATATTATTGAATGGCATTCTACAATGACCAAAGAATTCAATGCTCTTTTACACACATGAACTTGGACATTAGTGTCTTTTACATGAGCAATGAATGTTGTTGCCAATAAATGAGTCTTTAAAACTAAGAAACACATCCATAGAAGCATTAAAACGTATAAGGAATGGTTGGTGGCTAAAGGTTATCATCGGTAGGTAGGTATTAACTATAGAGAGACATTCGGTCTAGTGGTAAGCCCTCCACCATTCGATGTGTCCTAGCTTTGACAATTTTATATGGTTGGATTATTTGCCAATTAGATGTGTATAATGTCTTTCCGAATAACAATCTCAATAAAAAAGGGTTTATAACCCAACTGGTGGACTTTATGGATCCTCAATTCCTTACCTATGTCCGTAAACTCCATAAATTATTATATGGTTTAAAACAAGTCACCATGAACTTGGTTTTCCTACCTTCGAGAATTTTTACTTGCCGTTGGGTTTGTAGGTTCAAAGATTGACTCCTATTTATTTGTCTACCATGTTAAGGACTACAAAGTCTTTCTCTTAATTCATGTGAATGATATATTGATCACTATTAATAGTCCCTCCCTTTTGAAATATGTAAATAGTGCCTTGAATTCTCGTTTTACAACTTAGGACCTTGAGGACATAAGCTATTTTTTAGGTGTTGAAGTGGTTAAAACAAAGAATATTATTATTTTTCTCAACAAAAATATATTACTTATCTTTTCATCGGATAGGGAATGTCATCATGCCGACTCATGTGAACTCCTATACCTACCTCATCAAAATTAACAAAGGATTGCAACATGATATTTGATGATCCCACTTTGTATCATTAAGTGGTGGGGGCTCTCCAAGTATGCTACTTCAACAAGGCCAAGCATTTCCTATGCTATGAATAAGGATGTCGGTTTATGCATCATCCTCATTCTAATAATTGGATTGTTGTGAAACATATATTATGTTATTTTAAGTATACTTCTAGTCGGTATTCATATAAGATGATTAGAGACACACACCCTCTCCGGCTTTTAATATTCGGATTAAGTCAACTTATAAGATGATAAAAATCAACAAGTGGCTATGTTTTTTTTACCTTGGGTCGAATCTTATTACTTGGAAGTCATCTAAGTAGAAAATAGTGGCTTGTAGTTCTATTGAGATAGAATATAAAGTGGTAGCCGATTTAACTATAGAAATTTCGTGGGTTACTTCACTATTGGGTGAATTAGGTGTTTGTCGGACCTTAAAGCTAATGATTTGGTGTGACAATATTGGAGCAACTTACCTAGCAGCTTAATCCAATCTTCCGTGTATGTAATAAACATATGAAAATAGATTTTTATTTTGTAAGAGATATGTTGGTAAGGGTATGTTTATGAGTATAATTTATTTCAACTCAAGATTAGATAAGTCGATATTCTAACAAAACAATTGTCTAGAGCATGATTTAGTTTCTTAAGAGACAAACTCAAAATTGGCGAATGTCCACTATTAGTTTATAAGGAAGTATTAAGCTAACAAGGAACTACAAGAGCCAACTCGGTAATGGACTCTATAGTAATAGACCTTCAAACAACCATCTTTATAACACGAGTCATGGCAACTAAGTCTACCATTACAAGTGGTCGAGTTATTCAAAAACACTCCTTATAACAAGATGGTGCTACACTTAGATAGAGATTGTAACTAGATAAATTTTATGTATTCTTATCATTGTAATACTATATAGGATGCCTTAAATTCTACATAAAATAAAAAAGAGAAAAAATTCATTCATTAAAATACTTTTATGTAAGCTTAACGGATCATGTTTCTATTTCGACAAGCTAAATTAAATTAAATGTGACCTATAAGTATACATCCATAAGCTAAGAAGAAATGATGTGATTAGTAAAAAAAAAAAATCCTGTTAGAATAGATTTCAATATATATATATATATAATAAATGACGATTTTCAAGCTCAAAATTTTAACTATTTCACGTGCATTGCATGTGGTTCAACTAAATGTTATGCATGAACATTTGAATTTTTCTATTTATTATTTTAGAATGTCTTTTTCGAAGAAGTCCTCCCTTTGTCTTAAATAGATTGTCCATCCGTCTATTTATATCCGTTCCAAAATAATCATCTCATCAAAACTTTAATTATTGTATTTTCTTAAAATATTCCTATCTTTTTAAAAATTTTGGAACTCAAATTTAGTAGGATGGAAGGATATTTTAGGAAAGCATGGATAAAAAAGACTGATGAGTCATAACAATTAATATTTTCCTTAAATTATGTGCAAAGTAAAAAGAGACTAGTACTTTAGGACATAGAAAGTATTTTGGTATCAAATAACCAAACTCAATGTTATGTATGAAAATAATTTGATAAAATAAATAATTAATGAACTTATCTTTAATTCAATAACCTTTTTAATATAATTGTACAAAAAAAATAATGTCTTTAAATTTATCGTCTAATTTTAAATGCAGGTATTTGTTTTATTAGCAAGTGATAATAATTGGAAATTTTAATCTCCTTTCTCAATTAATTAAAAAAATATTTTTTTCAATATATATATATATATATATATATATTCAAATTATATATTAAATGATGTTTTATAAATTTAATTTTTCTATTAAATCAAACAATTGATAATATCTACTATATCATAAATCAAGTAACTCTACATCATTGTTTGTTAATACAAAATCAAATTTTGAAAAAAATAATAATAAAATATTAATAAAATCCAGTTAAACCATTCAATTTATGAGATTTTAAAATATAAAAGGCTTAATGTATCAAAAAATCATGAACTTTACCTTTTTAATCATATTAGCACGTTCTTTTAATGTCGAACGTAAAAGACATGAACTAAACTTCTAGTAACCATATTTTTCTTTTTTCTTTTGGAGATATCCTAATCACCAAAACTACATATGCTACACTATTAAAAAGAAATAATAACCAGGAGATGTCTAGGTTGGGGATGAGAAGAACAAATGTTAAGAGATTTTGCAATGAGAAGAATGAAGGGTTAGAGATTTTTCAATTAGGTTTTGAGGATTTTTCAATTGGGTTTGGGAGAGAATGAATGACATGTAGTTCATAAATTAGGTAGTTAATTTCTCAAATAAACCATGTGGATCATACATGTTTTCCTACATGGCATTTATGCCATGCTACATACTTACTCGCACATCACATTAGTTTAAAACATAATTTAAACTGGAAAAATTTATCCATGTAAATTTTTTTAAAAAAAATTCTAGATCTTATGTATAGGGTTGGTATTAGAGACATCATCAAAGATAAAATAACCAAGTCTCGGATTAGGGAACCAATTGATGACTCCACCACTCGTATTGAAACCCATCTCTCATAGTCCTTTCTTTACTATCCTCTTTAACCTTAAACACATGTTACTATTGTTATAAAATTGATCAATCAAATTTCCTCTCTCTCTCTCTCTCTCTCTCTCTCTCTCTCTCTCTCTCTCTACATATTAGCTTAAGGCTTTTAGTTACCTCTTTTTGTTTCCAAAAAAAAGGAAAAAAGAAAAAAGAAAAAGAAAAATCTCTTGGTTATATAGTTTATGTCGAATTGCTTCTTATAGTTTCCTTTTGCTAGCTCCCACAACCTTATCATCTCTCTAGTCCTTAAGGCTTTAGGAGTTACTAATACATTCCAAGAGAAAAATTGAATGATGGTGATCCAAAATTATAAAACCCTAAAAAATAATGACAAAGGTGATTCAAAAATTCTCCATATAAATTCAAAAGCCCTTTCACCACTTGATTGAATCTGCTCATGCACATTGCTAGGATTGGCAACATCTTTGACACCATTACGATTAATTGTGTAATAATTTAGAGAATATCAATTAAAAGCAAGTGACTCATTCATTATTCTTGCTATCTAAGAATTATCTTTGAGAGATGTTTGGGTTCGCGATAAGAAGAAGGAAGGTTAGTGATTTTGCAAAGAGACAAAGGAAGGATTAAGGATTTTTCAATTGAGTTTTGGAGATTTTTCAATTGAGTTTGGAAAAGAATAAATGCCATATAATTCATAAATTGGGTTGTTAATTTCTCAAATAAGCCACGTGGATCCTAAGTGTCATCCTATATGGTATTTATGCGATGCCGGCATACTTACTCACATGTCATATGAGCTTAAAATGAAATTTAAGCTAAAAAATTTCACCTTTGCTAATATGATTATCGAAGTTTAGTTAATATTTTTTTTTATCTAATATTAAAAAAACGTACTAATATGATTAGAAAATATAAAGTTCATGATTTTTTGGGTACATTAAGCCAATATGAAATTTAAAAACTTTTTGCATGCATTTGGTTTACACTAATGAATATTGTATTATTTATAGAATATCATATTTTCAAACTCTTTCTTTTCTCATGTTAAGACAAAAGGTGATTTCTTAATCTAAAAGAAGGAATTTTAGTTTACTAATGTATTCATGATTGAGTAACACTTTCTTTTTAGATATGTTCTATGTCTCTTCATTTTGCATCCTTTTTCTATAAAAATATTGCTAATTTGCAATACTACCTCATAATTTTAACCTTTAAAAAAACTTATATCTATACATCATTTCATTCCAATAACTACCACTAGAGAAGAACAATGATAACAATAATAAAGATAAAAATAATATACTTATAAAATTAATCATCTTGTTAATTCATGGGTGATATAAAAAAGTATTAACCATCAATAAAAGAAATCTTTATAAATCTTAGAGATGTAAGTGATATAATTTTGCATAAACAATAATAAAAATATGTATTTGATTTTTTTAAGGGATGTAAATATATCACTTAGTTATAGGAAGAAGAAAAAAGAACTTAAAATATAATACTATATTAAAAAGTCAATTATTTATTTATAATTATAATAATTTTTTTTAAGAATAAGTAAATGTTCAATGTTAATTTTAATTGAAAGCCAATTTATATTAATTAATTGTCATTACTCTTATCCTTTTGTTTCCTTTATCTTTTTTTTTTTTTTTTTTTTGATATAATGGAGAGCTAAAGCCCTAGAGAGAATAATACTAAGAATAAACTCGAGAATCACAAATCCATAAATTTCCTTAAACAAGAAGTTGTCACATCTTGAATGAGCATTAATATGATAAGTAACATCTAATGGCGGAAAATAAGCATAAGAAGCAAGCTAGTCTCGCTGTGTGATTAGCTCGCCTAAAAATATGCATGAGATATATGAACATGCCACTACTTTTAAAGAAGGTCAAAGATGATAAATACTAGAGGATATACATACCTTGACCGTAGTAATGAATGGCCAATAACTGAATAGTTAGTTTAGAATCATCATCAACAAGTACCGTTGCTATCCAAGCATTCAATGTCATTTCTAATTCAATGAAAATGCCTCAAAGTCCATCGCATAATACCGAGAAATCTCCAATGTGATAAGAGAAATCCTAAAGCTAAATGCTTGATTCATTATATAAAAACACCACCAAGTAGTGGATGTGACAATGGGATTATGAAAAACGCCATTAATGTTTAACTTGCCCCAACCACTAACTAGCTTTTACCATCCAATGTGAACCACATGCTTAAGGTAGCAATACCATTGATGAGGTGTATGTTTCAAACAATAAAATGGTTTTTGTTATCTTGCTTTTCTTATCTTGTAAACGAGCGTAAAGTGAGTGAGATATGTTAAAACCTATAGATGAACCATGAAAATAGTTTCTTTCAGAGAGCCATGAAGGAACACATTAGATATATGAAGTTGTTTAACTTACCAATTTTGATTCACGATAAGAGAAAAATGAGATGAATCACTACAAGCTTGATAATAGTATTATAAGTGTCATGATAGTTAATCTCTAGTTGTTGATTAAAGCCTTTACCCATGAGACATGCTTTATAGCAATCAATATGTTTAATGGTTATGGTTTTGATGTGATAAACCCACTTATTTCTACCGACATTAAAGTGAGGCTGATGGGGAGTTAGTTCTTAAGTTTTATTTTTAAGAAAAACTTGATTTTTTCAGCCATGACATGACATCATTTAGGATCCTTGGTTTTCTAGGTGTAGGTAATAGGTTTTATTAGAGGGACAATAGTAGAGAAATTCTTAGGCTTTAAGGAACTAGTTTTATCCCGTATGATTATTAGATGAGTAAGTTTAATACTTTTGATAAATTTGGTGGGTGTATAAAGGATGATTTAAATGGAAAGAGAATTATTTATATGTGTTGATTGGTGAATGAGATAGGATATTGAGGTCAACAATAATGTTCATGGGTTTCGAGGTATCACGAGATGGCATAGGATGGGATGATGGTGAGTCAAAGGTCGTAGAATTAGATTATAGTGAGTTAGGAGGTGGGGATTGTTGAAGGGCTAGGTTTGAGGATGACATGTCATTTGGTGGAGGAGAAGTTATAGTGGGGGTTAAAAAATAGGTATTTGGGAAAGGTTGTAGGAGGTGAGAGAGAGAAAGAGAGAGATAGAGAGAGATATTGGGTGACAATGGTTGATGGGTAAGAAGAGGGAAAACAAGACATACATGGGGATTGTGTTGTGTTTTAGAGTTATAAGACTGGTTGTTAGTGTGTTGATTTAGAGGTTAAGAAATGTGATTTAGTCTTGTCTATTGGTTTGAGTGGATGTATGGGATGGTGATGTGAGTTTGACATGTTCTTTTATAGACATCGCAATAGGAAATACATGTTCATCAAATACAACATGCAATGAGATATAGAGTTTTTTAGAAGATAAATTATAACACTTATAGCCTTGAAACATACATAGAGAAGAACAAAGAGAAAGCTTATTAGGAGTATAGAGATGGAGCCAAGGATAACAAAGGCATCAAATACTTTTAACTTATAATAAGTAGAAAACTTCCCAAACTAAAAAGAATGAAGGTCTTTACTATGAAGGTTGAGAGTGGAGAGACGATTAATAATGTAAATAGCATTGTCGAAGGCATAAGTCCATAATTTTAAAGGAAGAGTAGAGTGATTGAGCAAGGATAAACCAGTTTCAATGATATGTCGGTAATTTCATTTAGCACAACCATTTTGTTTGGGTGTTTTTAGGAAAGCAAGACATTGAAATATGCCATTATTATTGAGGTATTTAGTTAGGGCTTGTAACACACCATTCTAATTCGATTGGAATTGTTTGATAGAACGACTAAAGAATTTTTCAACAACATGCTTAAATTTAATAAAATAAATAAGAATTTTAGATTTATAATGAAGAAAGAACAACCAAGAGTACTTGTTATAATGATAAAGAAAAAACACATCATAATAAGAAAAACCATCAATTGACTTAACTAGTGACAATCTCTATAAATCAGAACAAACTAAATCTAAAGGGCTAGAGGCCTCATAAATGGATTTAAGAAAGGGCAACTTGTGAATTTTAGACATGCTACAAGTAGGACATAAAGTAGGAGACTTATGTGATTAACAAGAAAGACCATTATTTTTACTGTTTGTTAGATGGTACAAAAATGAGCATGATCAAGTCTAGCATGCCAAGTGTCCGATGTCATATTATGAACTTGAATAGAGAGGGATTGAGTGATAGAGCACCAAAAGACATTGTATAAAGGCTATTATCAAGCCGACTTATATGAAGAACCTTCTTCATGAACAAATCCTTAATAAGAAAACAAGTAGGAAAAAATTCAATAAAAAAATCATTATTCTTTGTAAAATGACTAACATATAAGAGATTAATAATTGAAGATGGCATATGTAAAATATTATGAAGATCAAAGGAATGATTATTAAGAGAAAAAGACAAGGAACCTATGTAAGGGATTGAAAGATTTTTACCATTGTTCAATTAAACTTTATCGAGACTAGAAACTTCATTATGAATAGTAAGATTTCCTATTTTTGCCATTATGTGATAAGTTGCACCTGTGTCGACAACTCACTCATTATTCAATTTGGAATAGGCAGATATAAAGTTACATGATGGTATGGGAAGTAGTAATGGTTGGCGTGGTTGGTTTCAATTATTGATAACTTGGCTTTGGAGAGGGACATTGATTGAAAAATTGCCTATGACTAGAAAAATTGAAGCAAACCACTAGTGAATTGGTGAAGTAAGTTCTAGTAAAATATCCATTAAAGGATAGAGAGTGGTGAGTGCGATCGGGGCTCGAACGACCATTCCTTCTACCACATTCTTGTCCATGGAGAGGGACCGAGTTGCGATTGGAAAATTTGATTGAAGTAGTAGATTCAAGAGATAAGGTTTTGGTATTCAGTTATAGCTCGTTCATTAAGAGTCGATCCACATAATTCATCATAGAAATTTGGCTCATGTTGAAACTAAATTGAGTGAAGAAAGGGTCTATAGGCTTATATAAATCCTCATAAAATCTTCTATACAAGATCATCTTCAAGAACTACTACACCAAGGGATGCAAGCATACCAAATCATCCTTTGGCTCTTTCAAAGTATTGTGGAAATGATTCTCAGCTTTTCTAATATAGTCTTTAGATATTGGTTTTTAATGTTTGAATGTCGAGTATAGGAGCTTGAACCATAGACTACGGTGACTTTTTTTTCTAGGTTTCTCTTATCGTTTTGGCTTTAACAAGTAAATGAAGCACACTTTCATTCAAAGAAGAAATGATCTAGGATAACACCAGTTGATCGTTTCATTCCCACATTTGACATAATGGGTTTCGTTTATTATCATCAAGAACAAAGAAGGGATTTCATACCCTTTAATGTGATGAATTAAGCCATGATAGTGTAAGAAGGGTTGAATTTGGGTTTTCCAAAGAAGATAATTGTGAGGGGTTAATTTGAGGATGATGTTTTGATTAAGAGAGAGAGAAAGAGACATGATAGAAGTGGAAGAAGGCAAAGTAATGGCACTCTTAGTGTTTGAAGACATGATAAGAGGTCGTTGAGCTCGTGGCTCGATGCCATGAAAATTCTAGTATTTTCTCTATATTTTACATTGAAGATTACAACAAAACATAAAGGTAAAGTTTAGGCTATACAGATTGTATAATTGCACAAAATCAACCAAGATATTAAGTCATAGTATGAGCCAAGAGATTACAATAGATTGTTATTGTTACGAACATAAAGTAGGCAAGAGATCAATGACATATTCTTTCCTTATTGGAGATTTCTTAAAAGTCAAGATTAAAGCCAATGTTAGAGATTTTTGTGTTCATTCTTTTTGGATTCTCGTGATTATAATTTCTTAGAATACAAATACAAATTACTTGAATTGATTTTAAAAAATTATTTAAGTTTAATAACTTTTTTTAAAAAAAAACAAAATTGTAATCTCTTGTTATTTCTTATACTTGAATACCCACTTTTAATTCTTTTATTTTGTTTATAATTAGTCACCCTCTGGTGCAATTCTCATCTCTACTCTACTCCTTCGATCTTTAATGCGTCATTTAATTTGTTTTATTAAAATATATTGAATTATTAGCTATGTATTTAATTTGTAAAGTTAATTAGTACCATTTCTTTTATGAAATAAATATGAATAAATTCATTCAAATGTGTAAGCATACTCACAATAAATAATAAAGTAGAGGTTCTTAAAATGACTTATTTGTTTAATTAGAGATATCTAAATTAAATTTATGTTAATTTTTATTTATATTCATGCATGTTCATCCCTAGTTATTGGTTCCCCAATCACAAACTTTTTGGTCTTGCCAATGTTGATGATGAGACTATCGGTGAAGGTACCGTATAGCCTTGTAAGAGTGAAGTTTAAGTTCCCTAGGTAGCGTACAAGGCGTAACTAGGTGGGGCAATTACCGGCTGCTTGATTTTTTGAACTTTTTATCTTTTCATGATATAGGTCTAAATAAAAATGTTTTAATTGTCTCCTAGCCATAATTGGTTTTCTTGCGCCTGAAAAAATTTGCCCTGCTTAATAAATAATTTTGGCTTCGGTAATGCTAATGTACTCACATCACACACAAGCTAATCCAAATCTAATATTGTGAAGCTTAAAAATATTCATTTTAATTAGCTTGAGAAGAGGAATTTCAAAAGCAAACCAAATGTGAACCGAAAAGCACTAAAAACTCCTAATTAACTATACAATATCTAAATTAAACTTCAAAAATTTTGTGTCTACATAGGAAATTTTAATATTAAATGAGTCAAAATATAACAATTTCCTCTCCTTCCTTGCTTTGAATCCAAGACATTTTGGCCATGATCAAACTACGTACAATTTATTTGAAAGAATATTATTTGTTTGAGTAAAAAGAGAAAAAAAATTAATGGCCATGCAAGTTTTTAAGAAAATAAAATTATATACTAAGTTATACAAATATTTTATGCCCGAAATTGATAATAAGGATCCATCAATCCAAAATAATTAAGTAATATAAAATGGATTTTTACGATATTGAGATCTTTTACAATTTGAATGTTTTTTATTGAAACTCTAAATTTTTTTTTCTAATTTAAGAGTTATGCTCTTATGTTATTGTAATTTCAGACCTTATCTAATGACGACTTGCCATGTAAGCACATGTGACAAGTTCTAGCCAATGATAGCTTGCTACATCATCAATTCAATCACTCAATTTGGGTTCACTCGTGACACGTTATTAGTTAGAGCTTACTACATGTACTTACGTGACACATTAAAATCTGAAACAACAACAATATAAGAGTAGAACTCTTAAATTAGACATAAAAAAAAAAACTTAGGATCTCAATTAAAAAAATTTAAATTGTACGGGATCTCGATATGTGCAAAACTCAATCTAAAATAAAAATGTAGCTATAAAATATAGTTTTTATTCTACTTTATTTTAGTTTATCCAACATTTTTTTAGAGTTTAATGTACCCAAATTATTTGTTAAATCATACTTATCTGACTTTATTTTTTTTTATGCAGAAAAATATGTTTTATTATGAAAAATAAAACCTACGTATACGTGTGATTGGGTGGAATATATAGTCCAATTAATGGAGTGGCAATTAACTAGTAGCTTCAATTGAGCCAATTTCACAAACATGGAATGTTATTGATCAAATTATTAATATCGGCACAATTTTGAATAATTGAAACAAGTATCATGGAAAAACGATAAGGTAAGTCTTTTCTCTTTCCCCCTTCTATTGATGGTTAAATTGGATAAGTGTAAGAAATAATTTTTGCTCGAATTAATTGGAATATTTTGAAGGAATTGAAATAAAATATTAATATAATATATTATTCATAACACTTTAAAATTAGAATAACATGTAGTATTAGACTTCGATTGATTTGGCATCAGAAATAATTTATTGGTTGACCAAAGACTATGTGCATTTGGCCTACGAGACCGTATATTGGTTGACAAAAAAATTAGGCATGTTATTATGCTTATTTAACTTGAAAACAATAGACTTAATTAGTGTGCATTCATACAAAAATTATACTCCATGATCTATAAATATTAAAAAATAAATAAATAAATGAGGGATTTAAATTTATAGTTGTTTAGAATTTTTTATATGTATATTATTTTAAGAGTTGGAAACCTATTAGGATTACAAAGCAGTTGGATTAAAAAAAAGTAAGAAAAGAACAAAGAAAGAAATAACAAAGTGCACAATAGAAAAATGAATAAAAGAAAAAAAATAACAAAAAGGATAGTTGAAAATCTATTACGATGAACCAACAAGTTGTCGATCTAATGATAAACAAATTAGTTTTTAAATAAATTTCTTGATAATCTGCAGTATTTGAATCTTAGAATCGTATTTGTTGGAAGGAATTAAACATTATTGTTTTCCTTTCAAACAAAATTAATTTTATTTTTAATATGAGATAAAGATATCTAAGGGAAAAAAAATATTACAATTACAAAGCATGATTAAAAAAAAACAAAGAAAAAAACAAGAACAAAGAGCACGGTAAGAAAGATAAGTAAATAATAATAATAATAATAATAATAAAGAGCATTATGATCTAATCAAAAGTTTACCTGCTGACTATACCTTTTATTATACAGTAAGTATCTTTAAAAAAAAAAATAAATTCCAAAACATAACATAAGAAAGAAAAGAAACATGAACATAGTTGAAGTCTAGTAGCGCGTGTGATTGCGAGAGTGAGAGAGAGAGAGAGAGCGTGTGTCAACGTACATATCAGGGAAGTGAACAAGAATAGGAGCGTCAGGGGTTAAGGTCCCCAATTCCCTCTGAACCCCTCGTGCTTTAACCCTCCAGTCAACCAATCCTGCGTCCAAAAACACAGAGGAAGATTTAGGAGAATTTTCTCCTACGCTATCTTTTAACAAACAAAAGTTTTCTGACGCAAAAAGTTAAATCATCACAAAAAGAAAACATATTGAATCATCTGAACTCTACTAGCTAACTAGCGCGCGTGGAGTATTTGAGAGAGTTAATGTTGTCAAAGTATATATCTGCATGGGAAGTGAAAGACAATAGGACTGGTAAGTGGGCTCGAGAATCGAGATCCCCTCTCCCCCGTGCTTTAACCCTCCAGTCAACCAATCTGGCATGCTAATTACCCTTTTTGCCTGCGCTACTGACTCCCGTACAGTGTCTCTTCACGTGGTTAACCTACCAGATTAATATCTCTACTCTAATCGTTGTCCCTAAGAACACCATCCATGAACTTATATACCTGTGCTCTAAAGAGTTTGTGTTCGTCTTATGCTTTTCAAAACAAAGGATTAGTTTCATAAAGCATCAACTTTTTCCATTTTTTTCTGCATCAATAGCACTATTATTGCTATAATGGTGACTTCATCAGTACTAGTTCCAAGAGTTGAGAGTTTGTCAAGCAGTGGGATTGAATCAATCCCAAAAGAATATATTCGGCCCCAAGAGGAGCTAACTAGCATTGGCAATGTTTTCGAAGAAGCGAGGAAAGATGAAGGACCTCAAGTTCCAACCATTAATTTGAAGGAAATTGAATCTGAGGACAAAGAGGTCCGCGAGAAATGCAGGGAAGAATTAGTCAAGGCAGCTAAAGAGTTCGGAGTTATGCACCTTATTAACCATGGAATTCCTGATGATTTAATCGATCGTGTCAAGAAAGCTGGCCAGGCCTTCTTCGATCTTTCCATTGAGGAGAAAGAGAAGTATGCTAATGATCAGGCTTCAGGAAATGTTCAAGGGTATGGAAGCAAGCTAGCTAACAATGCTAGTGGGCAGCTTGAGTGGGAGGACTATTTCTTCCATCTTATTTTTCCCGAGGACAAGCGTGACATCTCCATTTGGCCTAAGACACCTAGTGATTATACGTAAGCTTTCTTTCTTTTCTGAGACCTTTTCTTTTTTAGTTGTTAATTCCACGTTGCTTGGACTCCGAATCCATATCATTCATGGATTCGTGTCCGACGCTCATAGTACTACTCATGTCGGACTTGGCTATTCTTTCTGAAGTTTGTTTAATTTTTACTTATAAGGCAAAGGTAAGGGCGGAAGCAACATAGGTTCTCATGCGAGTCAAATTATTGCAATCCGATGTCATCTCCAAACTTGCAAATAAAAATCATAAAATTGTCTAATTTGCAGTGAAGTCACTAGTGAATATGCAAGGCTGCTGAGAAGTTTAGCAACCAAAATTCTGTCAGCACTATCACTTGGCCTTGGACTGGAAGAAGGAAGACTAGAAAAGGAGGTCGGTGGTCTGGAAGAGCTACTACTTCAAATGAAGATCAACTACTACCCCAAGTGCCCTCAACCAGAACTAGCTCTAGGAGTTGAAGCTCACACCGACATAAGCGCACTAACTTTCATACTCCACAACATGGTACCTGGCCTACAACTCTTCTACGAAGGCAAGTGGGTAACAGCAAAATGTGTCCCCAACTCAATCATCATGCACATTGGTGACACTGTTGAGATCTTGAGCAATGGAAAATACAAGAGTATTCTTCACAGGGGACTTGTTAACAAGGAAAAGGTGAGGATTTCATGGGCAGTTTTTTGCGAGCCACCAAAGGAGAAAATCATCCTCAAGCCATTGCCAGAAATTGTGACTGAGGCTGAGCCACCACTGTTCCCTCCTCGTACCTTTGCTCAGCATCTCGAGCACAAGCTTTTCAGGAAGACCCAAGATTCTCTCCTCACTGAAAAAGCTGATTAATTGCAGCACATCTTGTTCTTCAAGCTATGGTGCATGCTATGCTGGTTCATATATGAGACCCTAGTTAAAAAACGGAAAAACTGTTCATCATGAGACGTTAAAAAACGGAAAAACTGTTCATCATGAGACGTCTACGATGTCTTTTGTTATTTTAAGTTTGTAACTTGTAATGTGGCAGGTCTATGGTCACTATTATGTGTTTGTCGTTCCTTCTTTTTAATTGGCTGCTATATATGTACCTGCTTAATATGATTGAATAATAAAGACTGATTTTTTCTTCTTTTTGTGAGGTCAACTATTGATGGAAATGACAATTTGAATATACGTGCAAATCTTAATATAATTAATTAGGTTAATTTGTCAACTAATAATAAATTGATTCTCTCTTACACATCTATTTTTATCATCTCTCTCTCTTTCCTCTTGACTTCTTTCTCTCTCTGTTTTTTTTTTCAAAAAAACTAACTATATATCTGATTTTTCATCGGAGACAGTCCTTCATTTTCTTAGTTCTTTTTCTTCATTCCTTTTCTCTGTTTTTTCCTCATCTTTTTGTTTTTTAGTGCGTTGACAATTTAGTTCTAGATTTTTTAAATTTAAAAATAGATTTGTCCACAAATTTTCTATGAATTTTATTAGGATATTTTGTCTTTAAAATAAGAATTTGATATCACTTTGTTGGGTTGTTGTACACAAGTGTTTTGAAAGATATTGATTTTGATATTGCTGATCTTTTTTTCATTGATTTATGGTAATGCTAAGATCAACTATATGCGTGATGTGCCAAAAAATAAAAAAAATAAAAGTATCATCTTGGACAGTTGTAATCACTAAGTTTTAGTGAGCTTTTATTAACGTCTACGTAGAGACTATTTACTACTTGGAATATCACTAACCATCATTATTGTAAAAGAGTTTTATCTAATTTTTTTCAATATAACAAGTTTAAATTTCCTTTTCCATTTTTTATATCATTCTGCTATAAAAACAGTGATGTATTTGTTTAATTTAATAAAATTACTAATCCATCTGTTCCAAAAAACAAAAAAAATTGTCACATTTTCTGTTTATATTTATTCCAAATGCTTTCTCATTACAATTTTAAATAATATACTATTTTTTAAAACACCACTAGTTGAAAAAAAAAAATCAATTCTTTCTTCTATTTTCTCGTTCTTCACAAATAAAAATATTTTTCTTTATACCTTTATATATATATACACTTTTAAGATTAAAGTTTTTTTTTTTTAAATCTTTTTGTTACTTGTAGATTTTTTTGTGCTAGCCTTAATTAAGATGACTTTAAAACAAAAATATTATTGAATGGTTAGAAGACAATCCGCAAGATAATCCATCTTTTAGAATCCGAAATAGATGACCAAAAATATTAAGATGGGTTATCCTACCGTTGATCCTAAAGAGATTTAAACGCTTAAAATAAAAGCAAATATAGCCTATACTAGATTGCAATGCCTTAATAACCTCTTGGAAGGAGTTCTAGGCTACCTAGGATGTTTGAGATGCAAGAATAAAAAGCAAATATATTGTAAATATAATAATTAAAAACTAATATTTAAACAATATGTAATTAATAATAATCAAATAATCTAAAAACCAATAACAAGTATGTGAATTACATACTATAGGGTTGAATATAAACTAAAATTGATAGATACTAAATCAAAAAATTTTACAAACGACTATGACTTTTAAAATATAAAGACTTATAGATACATAAACCGATGAATAAATACCAATTGGAACTTCAAACATTGAGAGACAAGATTTATGTGTGTTGCAATAAAAGTAAAAATCGAACTAGAGATTATCTATCCGTTTACTATTACTACCTAATGTTATTGTTTCTTGATTACTACCTATAAACCGTATAGCTTGTTGTGTTTATAGTCTCGAGACAATATGATAGATAATACCGATAATTTACAAAAATATTATTGTTATATGTGTTTGTTTTTGTGTCCATTTGCTTGATTACGACTAGTATTTGTAACTTTTATATCATGTTATTGATGGATCATACATCCTGTGAAGGTGTGGAATAAAATAAAATTTTACTTCATCTAAAAGACTCAAGATCATGTCGTTGAATCAACTAATCATATATTCATAAATTAAAATGATGAATAGAGAATTACCTCTTGTAGTGTAGATCTAAATCTTTACATAAAAGAGTCATCCAAGTGTCTAGCCTCTATTGATAATCTATGCAGTCCAAGCACCCATAAAAGAAGCACTTAAAATTGATAGAGTGCTAGCTCCATTTTTTTTGACTTATTTAGTGGTTCCTATAGAAATCTAATCAGGATAACATTTATACAACCTAAAGTGAGAGAAAGGAGGTGGAATGCTAAGGTTAAGGAGAAAATAATTTTCTCCTCTTTTTATTTTCAAGTCATGTGCCCCTAGCTAATTTTCTTATTGTGCTAAATTTTTCCTCCTTAAAAATTCTCCTTATTATTGCACCTCTCCTCCTATTTATAGAGAGAGAGTTTTCTTGTCCTCTAAAGACAAGACAAGGGGCAACAACTAGTCTTTATTGGACTCTTGGTTGTTGCTTCTAAATTCTTCAAGGATTAGGAGTTGTTTAACATGTGGCTTTTAATCTTTATTTATAAAATATTCATCCTTATCTAATTTCCTCCCACCAAAATATCCTCTAAGCTTTTAATTAAACCTATTGACTCAAAACAATTTTGAAAAAATTAATTAATTTAGACTATTCAAATAAATTAAGTTAGTTAATTTTAGGAGGTCCACATTAGGAAATATTTTCCTAAATTACCCTTAAACTTAAATTAGGAAACTAATTTTCATTTTAAGTTATTCATTCTAAATTTGAAACTAACTTTCAAATTAGAGAACCGATTTCTAAAATAGAAAATTTTTCATTTTAGAAAACTTTTCATTTTTGAAAAACTTTTTCACAATAGGAAACTTTCATAATTGGAAACTTTTTTCAACATCTTTGCTTCTTTTTAATCATGTGAATGCTTAAACTTATGCATGTGACTCAATAGGCTCCTAGATATGTTAGTAATGTATCAAGAATAAAAGACACCGCTTTTATCTCTTAATACATAGGTTAAGATTAGCCTCTAGTAAGACATCATGACTATCCAATTCTATAGAAGGATTAATTAATCTATAATTACCTTTCACGAGCATGGTTAACATACAATTCATTTCTCATGTCAACTTATCACGAGTGTAATCTTGAACTTGATTATTAGTCTTATTCGATCATGATCACATAAGTTTTTTTATTCTTAAATTTCTTAGTCGTTAGAGTAAATCAACTACGCTCTATTAGTGTACTTCTACTATGGTCATAGATTTCTTGATTCGACATTCATTGAAGTGTAATATGATAAATCCTTGAGCGTAAAAAGAATGATATGTCCTATCTTAGTCATTCACCTATCTCCATTAGATTCCTAGTGTACCCAATAAATCACCCACGTGTAACCCTTTACTAGGTCCATCAAAACGAGTGTCAAAGTATATAAATCTTTCAATGAGATAACCGCGATGACCTCAAGTCTAAGGATCAGTTGTACCTATCTCGTATGAGATTCCTATAGATTAAACCAAATGGGTTCTCATGATGAGTCAAGTCCAATAGAATGTTCTCTAATATGAATCACCTAAGTGCTTGCTTTGGCATCATCATGCTAATAGGTGTGAAATCTCATATTCGTTGTCATATAGCATGAGCATAATATTCATAATTCTAACGACATATAGTTAATGTCTATTATTGACCATGCTATGGCTTGGGACATTTAACGATATCATTTATGTGTATTAGTGTTCATCTCACATCTTTCGATCAATCACTAATGCAAATGTATATCTATGAACTTCTATATAATTCTAGTCAATAAATAAATGTAAATGATAAAAATTAATATAAAGACTTCTTTTGTTAGAAATAATATAAATAATGCAATAATATAATAAGTCAAACATATCCAAATAATGTTGGATTTTAAGCACCTACGCTAACATCTATATCTTTCTTTACTAGTTACGTTCTTGAATTGTAAAGTCTCATAACTTTTTGCCTTAGGTTACAATGTTTTATGTTTTTCTTAGGTTATAATGCTCTATCTCTTTTGTTATTTCCATTCATTCGTTGTAACATTCCCACATTCCTCTTATTTCTAGCTTCCGTAATTTGAATCAGCTTACTTTTTTATTAGTCTTTCTTTTTTAAATAAAAATTGACTTTCCACATCCTTTGCCCATGATGCCATTCCATTTAGAATTATATTTAGCCTTTTTGTCTTGCAGATATAAAACCTTTTTAGACTTCTTTTTTGGATGGGCTTTTTTTGGGCTTAATATGAGAGGGCGCTAGTGGCTTTTAATAGCCTATAATATGCGGTTTGTTACCAAATTTTCATTGGGTTTTCTTTAATTTATTAAGTCGCCATTCCATAACCAAATTTGGGTGTAACATCTACCCTTTTTTATGCTTAATGTGTAATAAATAAATAATTACTCTAGTGTTGATTTGTTCACCTCTCCTTAATTTCCAAAATTGCAATAGATACCTCAAACTATTATGTCTTCTTACTTTGTAATGGTTACTTAAAATCACACAATTCTTTGGCTTGTTGTGTATTAATACATGAGAATTCTAATTGTTGTTACACTATTGAATCAATTGCTATTAAGGTTTTCTAATTTCCATCTTTACTTAATTCTAGGGTTCTTGATTTTACTTTCTCAAGCTTTTGATTGCACTCGCTTCTTTTCGATCGAATTATGTTTCATTTTCAAACCATTCCTCTCTTTCAATCTCTATGGTTTCTAGCAAATCTTCTTTCAATTCTAAGTCTCGAAGGTTTCCTTATCGCTTTCATTCTATATCTTATATTACTCTATAATTAGATCATCATTTTAGGTTTAGCTCTTTTTATCTTTCTTTATTAATTCAACTTGCTATATTCTTTCCCCTTCGTGAGGTTTGTGAG